ATCGCTGTTTCAGATAAAGTTTTTTTTCCGTATATTGGATTCAGATGAAACTTAGGGGAGACCGTGGCTGTTTGGCTCAGGGGTTGCTTGGCGCACTTGAGTTTATTCAAAAGTGTTAAGTTACATTAATTTTTCTCTTTATTCTGCTTAAAGTACTTGATGAACTGTAAGTTTGTACAAAATTTCATTAATTATTGTGGAGTATAGATTAAAATAACTGATTTTGGCACTCCAAAGTAATTTTTTAATCTCTTCATTTTTTTGTGATATCTCTTTAAAAAATTAATTTTAGAAGAGCTCAAATATTAAGTTTTGAGCTCTATACATTTGTTATTAAGAAACAAAAAAAAAAAATTTTGATTTATATTGACAGTTTTTATAAAAAATTAATAAGTATTTCAAAAGTACATTCGGGGTTAGGTGGCGCGGTTATCTGAAAATTTCGTTAAATATTAATAAAATGAAGTTGATTATATGAAATTTACACATTCATAAGCACAAATAACAATCCTATTTAAAAAATTTAACCGAATAATGGTTTTTAAATATTCACAGCGTTATTATCGCATTTGGCATCAGTTTTTCAAAATTCAAAATGGCTGATCCAAAATGGCGGATACGTTTCTTTACAAATGCTTCATGGAAAAAAATCTTCACTTGTAACAGCGATCAGTTTCATTGGAACAGCTATATATGTTTCTTCAGAATAAGGAAAAAACTTTCGCTATTTTAGTGAAACATGTATCGCTGTTCCAGGTGAAGATTTTTTTCCATAAAGCATTTTTAAATAAACGTATCCGCCGTTTTGGATCCGTCATTTTGAATTTTCATATTTTGCGTTCTCGCACATCACGTTGGTATCACATTGACTCAAATATAAGCAACGTAACGTTACAATTATTATTTTTATTCAAAAATTTGTTTGTTTTTTTTTGCCCTTTTTATCATTTCTAAGTTAAAGTTTAATTTAATTTTATATTTTATAAATAAATCTTTCATTTAAATTGATCATGAGGTTATTCAAAAATTAAAAAATTGAAAAAAAATTCCTAGAATGGCACATTTTGTAAAAATTGTACAAGCAATTAAAAATCATAAATTTAACTAAATGAAAAATGAGAAAATTACACATTAAATAAGCTGTTAGTGCGAATCATTAGTTGCCTTTTTGCACAGTGGGATTTCATCTGCATTTCTCGCAAATATAATTCAAAAGGAGTTACAACTCCATTTTATTATTATTTTTGTTTTGTATTTTTCTTTTTTTTTGTTATTTTCTACTAGTGAGCGCAACTAAGTAAAAGCAATTTAATGAGATTATTTAACATACATACCTATATATATATATATATATATATATATATATATACATACAGAAGACTCGAATCATTCGCATTTACAGCGGAACATTGATATCAATTAATTATTTTACATAGTGCATTTACCACGAGTTATTAAATTGTTAAACGTAAATTTTTCAAACGAAACGAATTGAAGGCGAAGCTTCGGGCGTATTTATCGTTTTCATACATTCATATAAATATAAATAAATATCTCTCTATATTATAAAAAAAAAGATATTGCCGCTGTTTTCATATGGGTCATTCCACGTCAAGAGTAACCAACCTAAGACCTATGTTTTTGACATGGTAAGTACAATATAGGTCTTAGATTGGTTACTCTTGACATGGAATGGCCCATATCTCTCTATAATATAAAAAGATTTCGCCGCTGTCTCCAATATGGGTCATTCCATATCAAGTGTACCCAACCTATATTTTTGTCAAGGTTAGATTAAGATAGGTTAGATTGGTTACACTCAGAAAAAAATTTGTTTGAAGCAACCAAATTTTGGTTAAATCAACAAAATAAATGCATTGATATACAATTAACTAAACATTTGGTTGCATAAAGCAAACGTTTATTTAGCTCAATCAAATTTTTTTTTGTTGAAAAAATTTATTAAAATAAATTAAACAGTTATTTAGATCAAATAAATATTTATTTGAATTAAACAAATTTTGTTTGAACTAACCAAAAAATTGGGTAAATATTAAAAAATGGTACATTTGGTTCAAACATATCTTTTTTCTGAGTGTACTTTTAATATGGAATGACCCATATATATATATATATATATATATATATATATATATATATATATATATATATATATATTTTACTATTTTAGTTGGTACTTTAACCTCAAATCCATCGGCGAATTGACGTGGAATATCTACCTATATTAGTATTAAAACGAACATAACCTAAAAATTTAAGGTCCTAGCTCTCTAGGATTCAAGGCTATAGATGAAACATAACCTCAAAATTCGAAGACATTGGTTTACAGGATTCAAGGCCTTAGTTCAAACATAACCTAAAAATTCAAGGTCCTATAAGATTTTAAGGATTCAAGGTCGTAGATCAAACATAACCTCAAAATACAAGAACATAAGTCAAGGGACCGTTGGGATTGAATTGATGTCTGTCAAACATAACTTCAAATTCTCATAATCAAGAAACAAACATAATCTCAAAGTTTAGATAAAATTTTAATACTTGCAAGCTTTTAAAAAATTAAACATTAAATAGGAAAATAATGGAGGTTGGCGCGCGAAGCGAAGTAATAAATTTAATAATAATTAATAATAATAATAATAATAATAATAATAATAATATATGTATACGTTTTTAAAGAATAGATACAAATATATAGAAGCTGATTTTTTCTCAGCTCGATCATGGTAATTAATAGCATATCACTTTCATCGCGACCGGTTGTGTCCAAATGGACGATTGGTCGTTGCTTGCGCAGAAAATTCGCAGTGAGAGTCCACTTGCGATGAGGTTTAAGGACATGGGGGACTCTCAGCATAACCCAACCAACCGCTTTCTTTCTACTGCGAGAGAAGGTCCCTTTCCTCTATATATATATATATGAATTGTACATGGGACATTAACCTCATCACAATTTTTTTTTTCAAAACCAAAAAACATGATAATTATTTTTATTATTTATTTATTTACTATAGTAATTTTCTAAATTTAATTTTTCATTTTATACTTGTTTATTATATATACTATATCAACTTTCTTAATTTTTCTCTTGATATAATTAAATAGTTTTTCTTAGATTTATAATTTCTATACAAGTGCGAGAAAGTTTATGGTCATTTTTGTATTATTTGTTGCATTTTGTGCGTTCGTGACAAACTAAATATATATATATATATATATATATATATATATATACGCACGCACATATTGCTCTCTCAATAATAATCATAAAAATAATTAAGAAAAACAACAATAATAATAATAATATCAATAAGAATATAATAATAATAATTTTAATACTACTACTACTACTAATAGTAAAGTAAAGTTTGAGGTTATGTTAGATGTATAAACCAAATTAATAATAAAAATGATAATACATATAGAAAAATGTTTCTTTGAATCAAAGAATTATTTTTTTTTATATATATATATAAGATCTAAGAAAATTGTTCTTTAATTTAAAGAAATACATTTTCAATTTCAAACAAAATATATTTGAAATGAATGATATGTCGCGAGAAAAAGCAAAAAAAAAAAACTATTTCAATCATGTTATATACATATATAGTGAGAAACGATTCTGTAATGTTCTCGTTTGATGATTCAAAGGCGCAGACACGCCTCGAGAAACGATACTTTCCAGCTTTTCTCTTTTGCCCGCAGCTTCATTGTCTTGTCAGAAACCATTATACGCCATAGACTATTTTCTGCACTCGAGCGATAGTCAACAAAAATATCTAAAGAGGAAACTATCGATCTGTCCTCTATCACTTTCAATCTCACAATTATGTAAATATATATAATTCCCTTCCCCTCCCCCAAGGCTTTTCAAAATTATTATCATAAAAAAATAATTTAATTTATCTACTTATTATTATTATTATTAATTTAAATTTTATAGTTTGTACTTAAATAGCTTTAACGTAAAATTTAAGGTTATTTTAGATGTACAAACTGCATTAAGCCAAAATATTCAATAAAATCTATTTTTGATTTTGCCTAATTAAAAAAGAATTTTTTATTAAGATAAAACTATCACTAAACATAACCTAAGCTTCCAAAAATCTTAGTTTCTGTTTAGTGATAGTTTTACCTCAATAAAAAATTCTTTTTTAATTAGACAAAATCAAAAATAGATTTTATTGAATATTTTAGATGTAATAAAAACTTTAATACCAATAGTTTGTATAAATAGTTGACCCTCTTTATGTATTTTCACTTCAAAAATCAAAAATTTAACCTAAAAATTTTGAGAGCTTAAGTACCTTTTGTCGCAGAGCGTCACATACACATATATATATATATATATATATATATATATATATATATATATATATATATATATATATATATATATATATATATATATATATGCTTATTTAGTTTGTGATACTAGCGCCTCTAGCGGAAAAAATGTTGCAACTCAGGTGGGAGATCGCGTTGATCTACGCATGAGTATTCAATTTAACAGACGAAGGAGGTCTAACAACCTAACATAATTTTATAAATATAACTTAAATTAAAAGCATTTCAGTAGTTTTTTTAAGGTTATGTTAAGATCAAATTTCAATTTCCAAAAGTTCATCGTAGAAATAAAAAAATATATTCTTTTTTTTCTGATTCATTTTTAAGAACTTTCAACAAAATATTTGAATTATGTTAACATTTCAAATTACGTTCCCCCGTTCATGTTATATAATTTATTTTGAAAGATTGCGAGTCTCGGGTAGATATATATATATATATATATATATATATATATATATATATATATATATATATATATATATATATATATATATATATATATATATACAAAGGGTTGAATAACCTTAAAACTGAGATTTATAATTTTTCACCGTGAGCGAGAAAATAGAGAAAAACATTATAGAAGGAAGGGTCGAGAAAATAATAAAAAAAAAATGAGAAAAGAATCTTACCTTTGTACGGTTCAGAGGGTTTGAGAAGTCCCATCCCGGTGCCACGAAGAGGTACCCGCACTTGGAGATCTTCCTTGTTGCCTGAAACATAAATCAGGTCCTTCATTTACTCCTCTTTTCTTATATGAAGCCTGTGCTGTATATATATATATATATATATATATATATATATATATATTCACTGTGTAGCACAACATAGTTGCACGCGTGTCTACGAAACAATCTACCGTTTACAGTGCCGGGGAGCTAATGAACCTTTCAAACGGTATATGTCTAGCCCTCTCGTGAATACCTATCTTCCTGGAACTATATTATTGCACAAGGAAGAGAGAGCTTTATTATAGCAAAGCGCAATTTTTTGGCAAAAATTATTTCCAATCATATACACTTCATACGTTTGATGTAATTATGAGATTAAAGATAAATTCTTTTTCAATTATATATTATTCTATTATAGAGTTTTATAACAAGATTTTCATTGTTGTTTTATAAGTGTACATTGCCTCTGAATGTTAAAATTGAGAACACATGCAAGAGGGAAGGGGGAAGCGAGCAATTATTGATCACTCTCCACCGTACGCAGAGTTCTTAATTTCAATACCAAGGAACGTATCATCGCAAGTGACAAATTTTGAACCTCTTTTAACTATTTCTATAAAATATCAAGTCAAGAAAAGACTGCACTGAATTCGTATTCATATTTAAAACGGTGTGTTTTAATGATTATACTAGCGCTACGAAAACTAGAACTAATGAAACTTTTATCGTGGAATCAGAGAAATTCTTTTTTTTTCGCTTTTATTTGGAACAAATAATTTGAAAAAAAATATAAACTGAATTAAATAGTTCTGCAGCACATGTAAACATAAAAATATAGAGAAATACAATATTTTTCATGTAACTAATAAATTTTAAATTATAATTTTTTTTTTTTAGTTAAGTATCTTTCACAAAAGGACATAAAAAGAAGTTCACATATCACTTTCGCTTCGTTATGTATAAATAATATGAAAGCAACTTCTAATGAGTCTAAAGAAGAACATCTCGGGTCCAGTTAATATGTGCTAAGCATGTTTATCGTGACAGATGGTTGCACTGTGCGCACATACACCAACAAGTGTTGCCAACAATTAGCACAATCATTCTAACAAATTAACGAAATTCCGTCAAAGGAGTGAATGCACAAGTTCGTGTTAGTTAAAATAGCTTACTGTGGTCTTTTAATAGTAATTCCAACTGTGTATGAATGTGTATGTATGTGTGTGTGTGTGTGTGTGTGAAATAATGTAAAGTGAACAAAAAAGGAAAGTTGTCATTTTCTAAAAACGTCAAAGAAACTAAATGGAAAAAAAGAAATGTTGCCATGATTTCAGTCTCTTTTCAAAACTTTCTCTGTGTGTATATAAAGCATCAACAATAATAAGCAAAAAGAAAAGAAAATAATTTTTTTTTTTAAATAAAGAGAATCTGCTTTTAAATGAAAATAAAATAGAGCGAAAGTGGAAAGTTAAAAAAAACATCTTTTTAGATGGTAGCTATAATAATATTTAATAAAAATCAATATATCTATGCGTAAAAATGAAACCAATTAGGATATAATTATAAAGGATGTAGTTGTAAGTTAGATAAAAATTTTGTTTACGAGATCGAGTGTAATAAAAAATAAAAATGATAAAGGAAAAAGTTACGAGAAAAAATAATTAAATTTCTCTACTTTGGAAAATTAATTTTTTTTAAACTTTTATTTTATAAGAAATACCACGTTACTGTTAATATAAATATTAAAAGTAAGTATGGATAATTAGAAACAGCATTAAAGTACTTTAACCTACTTTGAATCTACATTGACCCTTAATTAGACCTGAATTAAACCTACATTAACACTATATTATCGGAATTAAACCTCTTTCAAACATAAATTGTACCTTAATTAGACCTAGATTAAAACTGTATTGAACCTTAATTAAACCTACTTTGACCCTACATTGGACCCGGAATGAACCTACATTAAAATTATTTTAAACCTACATTAAACATACATTGATACTACCTTAAACTTCACATTGAAACTATATAGGACTTATTTAAACGTGTTTTAAACTTACATTGTAACTTCATTGAAGATCCTTTTACCCTACATTAGACCTTAATTAAACCTACAATTAAAATATATTGAGCCCAATTTGAACCTCCTTTGACCCTACATTGAACCTGAATTAAACTTTTATTACAACTACATTGAACCTTAATTGAAGCTACATTTAAACTATTTTGAACCTTCTTTGACCCTACATACCACCTGACTTAAACCTTCATTAAAACTACATTGGACCTTATTTGAACCTGCTTCGACCCTAAATAGAACCTGAATTAAACCTTCATTAAAACTATATTGGACATTAATTGAACCTACATTTAAACTTTATTTAACCTCCTTGGACCTTATATTGACTTTAATTGAACCTACATTCAACCTACAATAAACCTCTTTTGAACCTCCTTTGTTCCTACATTGAACCTGAATTACACTTTCATTAAAACTACACTGGACCTTCATTGCAGCTACATTTAATTTATATGAACCTTATTTGAATCTGCTTTGACCCTAAATAGAACCTGCATTAAAGCTTTATTAAAACTATATTGGACATTAATTGAACCTACATTTAAACTATATTTAACCTCCATTGACTCTGCATTGAACCTGAATTAAATCTCCATGAAAACTATTAATCCTTCTTTGAACCTGCATTGGACCTAAATTAAACCTAAATTGAAATAACATTGAAACTATATAGGACCTACATTGGGCTTACTCTAAACTTACATTGAGCCTACATTTGACCTTTTTTGACCCTACTTGGACCTAAATTAAACTTAAATTTAAAATTATACCTCCTTTTATCCTACATTAGACTTGAATTAAACCTACATTGACCCTACATTTAAATTAGATAAAACCTACATTGCATCTGCTCTTTACTTACATTAAGCCTACATTAAACCTTTTTTGACTCTACATTGAACCTGAATTAAACCTTCATTGAAACTAAATTAAACCTTCTTTGAACCTACATTAGACCTAAATTGAGCCTACATTGAAGCAACATCAAACCTTTTTTGACCCTAGATTGGACCTTAATTAAACCTACAATAAAACTAAATTGAACCTCCTCTGACCCTACTTTGGACATAAATTAAACCTTTATTGAAACTAAATTAAACAGTCTTTGAACCTACATTAGACCTAAATTGAGCCTACATTAAAGCAACGTTAAACCTTTTTTGACCCTACATTGGACCTTAATTAAACCTACATTAATACTATATTGAACTTCCTCTGACCCTACTTTGAACCTACTGATTGCAAAATAAAATTTTCCAATTTTCCTTATCGAAACTTTTATCAACTATTTATTAATTTTTTTCCATTATTATGTTGGTCATAATTTTCTGTGTAAAGCACACACGTCAGCTTTGCGACGCAACCTCTCCCCTAATATATATATATATATATATATATATATATATATAAAAAGAGCCATGAGATTCACGTGTAGATCCATTAAGAAGATGATTTATTTGGACAGGTCAGCGTGTATAATAGTTGTATGAGAGATTATACATATATATGAAGGCAACGCGTAACCGATGCAATTAAACATTTTAGCAGGCTGGATTCTCGTTAACCAATCAGAGCGTATCTTTTATATATATATATATATATATATATGTGTGTATGTGAGCCAATGGGGAAAATAGACTCTCTTGCTCGCATAATTCAATGTTGTTCCGTATAGTCCCTCTCTCTCTCGGGGTGCACAATTATTGACAAGCGCTCTCTTCTCCTGCATCAGCAGCAGCAGCAGCGGAATCGGTAATGCGAGAGTCGTTCCTTGCATTTATCGTTGAACGCGAGGACGTCGGCCGGCCTGGCATCAAGGCCGATTTCTAACGAGAATAGAACTGTCGTCGTATATTACGGGCCAGTCGTTCCGTTTCTAAATTGCGTGCCGCGAAACTTCGTCAATACGTTCCGCCTGTCGTTGAATTGACCGCACGACCATAAGTAAACTCAACAAGAAAAAAAAGAACACGAAAAAAGTTACTTTACAATAACTCTTTTACTATATATTTATATTCAATTTTATAATTAGTAAATAAAATTTGAATTAAAAACAAAAAAAACATTTTCAAGTCGTGGAGAAAATTGCTAAAAAGCATAATTTTACTGAAAAAAATTCTAAATTTTTTATTGTCGTAACCAATTTTTGGTTGTCGTAACCAAATTTGGTTGTCGTAACCAAATTTTGATTGGCTGAAACAAAATTGTAGAGTTATTTCAACCAAACATTTGGTTAGGCCTAGCAAAATTAAATGATTGTACATTTTTAAATTCCAACCAAAATTTGGTTACAACAACCAAAAATTTAGAATTTTTTTAAGTAAAATTATGCTTTTAAGCAAATTTTCTCCATGTCTTGAAAATACTTTTATAAAATTTCACACATTTATTATCTTCCCGCACAAAATAAAATAAATAAAAATTAAACTTCACTGTTTCAAAATGTTAACCAAAAAAAAATAAATAAATAACAATTTATCAATGTCAGTTCATTAAAATTGATGTCAAATTAAATATAATAGAATAAATTAACATTGAAATAAATAGAATAAATTGATAGTTTTATAGAATTGAATAATTGACATGATTATATACAGATTGATAGAACTAAATCAATATCAGAATTTATATATATATATATTTCACGAATTGATTAATGTCAATATAAAAGAGAATTTAATTTATTATTATCATAATAATCTCAAAAATTGGTATTAGAATTTTTTTTTCGTTTTAACGAAGGTCATGACTTGGAATATAAAGTGAATCTCATGAATCTCTTTAGTATAGAAAATGAGACAGATGTGAACCATGTGGGCGGAATAAGTAGCCTTAGATAATAATTCTCATATAAGAAGTCTAGTGCCCTTAAGGCAGCTATTTTTGCAAGTGAAAACACTCTCTGCTTTATATAGAGATCACGATATAATATATATAATATAAGGAACGTCATATA